TAGAAGAGCATGGAACTCTTGATCTCAGGGTTTTGAGTTTGAGCCCCACACTGGGTGTAGAGATTACTTAAAAAAAAAAAAAAAAAAGGGCAAATAATATTTTTACTAATCACATGTATTTTTTCACACCCTTCTTCCTCAACTTCTGTGCCCCCAATTTTTAAAAATTTTTTATTTTATTCAAGTTAAAATTTTTTTTTTTTATTTAAATTTTAGGTAGTTAACATACAGTGCAATACTGGTTTCTGGAGTAGAATTCAGTGATTCGTTACTTACATACAACACCCATTGCTCATCACAAGTGCCCTCCTTAATGCCCATCCCCCACCCACCTCCCTCCATCAAGCCTCCGTTTGTTTTGTATCATTAAGAGTCTCTCATTGCGCCCCCAATTTCTGAAATGGACTCAGGACTCCTTTGATTTCACAGGATGAGGCTCCAACTAGGACCTCTTAGCTCCCAGGCTTTGCTAGAAGTAGTAATGGTGAGAAAGGACTGATTATGTATGAGAGTGTTATCTGCCTTCCAGCTATTTTCAAATTCCAGTAACAATTTATAAATAACATGCCTCTCAAGCCTGTAGAGGGCAATGCATCAAAACCCCGAATTTGAAAAAACCTTTATCACCTTAATTGGAAAATGAGATTATCTCAATGTTGTTTAGAAGCTTCACTGTTATTTATGAAGTTTCTTCAAAATGAGGGCTTTCATGTAAATGGAAAAAGGAATACTACAAGTGTATTTGGTGGTAAGACGTGGTCCTAAAACAAAATCAGATTTTGAGCAAGAACGCCAAGTACCATTAAAAAGCATTTAGTGACTTTAACTCTATCCATCTTTGAGTCTTCAGTTTTCCTGGGAAAGCAAATGGGCTTCAGAATGAGACAATCCAGCTGTGAATCTTAGCAAGTTATTTCCTCAGTAGCAATTTCTCATCAGTAAATAGAGACAGCACCTCACACCTTGCAGAGTGAGAATGCCCGGTACAAGCAGGCGCTCAACAGAAGTTTAATTCTTTCCTTCAACAAGGCCTCCCTATATTTTAATATGGTCCCCTTTCCTAATTTAGAAGTTGTCCTTATTATTCACTCTATCACATATCACATACCATCTCTGATTACTCAAATATTTCATATATGTGCTTTATTTTCCTCAGGTAGAAATGTAAACTCCCGAAAAAACAGTAATATTCTTTTCATTATACCCACTCAGAACCTAGCATAGTGTTATGACAGACTAAATACTTGACACTTGCCGATGAAAATACAATCATAAACACAAACACTCTGTAAGTGTAGTAATTCTCAGCTTTAAAGTTCACGAACAACAATGTCAGGGAGAAAGATACTATAAAACCACCCTCCCCCACAATCTATTTGTCATGTAGGAATTCTTTGGGAGGGGTGGCTCCACAGCTTAGAGTGACTTTCCTTTTTAACTGTGACTTTTAATACTTTTCAAAGTTTCAACCAATTCTGTATAAGACATTTAAAATTTAATTATTTTTGAAGAACCTTTATTTTAAACATACCAGACTGCATAATAATTTTGATGCATTATAAAGAGACCACAGTCTACCCTACAACCCAATTCCATATTTTGCTATGATGAATATCAGGACAATATGGAAAACTTGTCCTTAAAGAGAAAAGATTAAAGATTTATTTAAATTTGAAGGTAAATGATTTCACAGGATCTCAGCTACCACCTACGCTGAATGTCCCAATGTCTCCAAATCTTTTAATTCTATTTTTAAGTAATCTCTACACCCAAAGCAGGGCTCGAACTTACAACACTGAGATCAAGAGTTGCATGCTCCACAGGCTGAGCCAGCCAGGCGCCCCCATCAATGTCTCCAAATCCTGATTCACCTCTGCTCTAAATACAACTTTCAAATGCTTACTGGACATCCTTATCTGGGCTCCTTATGATCAACAGATCTAGTTGCAATTCCTCTCCCCTCATGCATGTGTGCTACTCTTCCTATATTCCCTAACAGTAATGGGATCATCTTCCATCCAGATGCCTAAAACTAAAAACTATTTTTCCCTCCTTTGAACATCCAGAGAAGTCACCCAAAGCCCAATCTACTCCAATTCTGAAATACCTTTCTAGTTTCTTTTCCTCCGCGTCACTACTGCTTTAGCTTAGGCCCTAAGGATTTCTCACATGTTTTATTGCAATCATCTAACTGGTATCCCTACTTCTAGGAGCTCCTGCTTGCTAAACCATACAACACACAACTATGATAATTTCTTTTAAAAATATAAATTTGTTATTTCTCTGCTTCAAAGTACTGATGGCTGCCTTTTACCAAGAAGGAAAGCCAAGTCCTTAGCACAGCACATAAAACTCTGAAGATTCCTTCTCACCTAACTTCTCTGGTCAAAAGTCAACTTTTATCAGTGACTCCCCTACTCTTTTCTAGAGGAAGAAGGCCCCTCCTATGCTCTTACACTTTGTACCCACTTTTAATAAAGGAACTACCACACCGTAATTATGTTTCAAAAGAGAAAACTCCCTGAAAACGATAATGAAAACAATTCACTTTGTAACCCTGGAAAGGACATGAACAGCCCATTCACAAGAAAGTAGATAGTAAGTGGCCAATATATATGTGTAAAGAAGCCAAACCTTATTCTTAATTGTAAATGAAACAACATTTTGTACCATACCGCCAAATTAAAACATTTGGTAATACTTAATACTTGAGAAAGACTGGTGAGAGTGGAAAAGAAATAGGCAATATTGTACATTGCTGAGAACATAAACTATCTTTTGGAAGGGAAATAGGGACTTTTCACAAAAATAAAAATAAAAATGTATATAACCTTAGACCTATTTTACTTTTTTTTTTTTTTTTTTAAAGATTTTATTTATGGGCGTCTGGGTGGCTCAGTTGGTTAAGCGACTGCCTTCGGCTCAGGTCATGATCCTGGAGTCCCGGGATGGAGTCCCACATGGGGCTTCCTGCTCAGCAGGGAGTCAGCTTCTCCCTCTGACCCTCTTCCCTCTCGTGCTCTCTCTCTCTCATTCTCTCTCAAATAAATAAATAAAATCTTTAAAAAAATAAATAAAAGACTTTATTTATTTGACAGAAAGAGACACAGCGAGAGGGAACACAGGCAGGGGGAGTGGGAGAGGGAGGAGCAGGCTTCCCGCCGAGCAGGGAGCCTGATGTGGGGCTCCATCCCAGGACCCTGGGACCATGACCCGAGCCGAAGGCAGCTTAACGACTGAGCCACCCAGGTGCCCCAGACCTATTTCACTTTTAAGGAATTATGTATCCCAGGTAGGGGGGTGGGTGAAAGGGGAGGAGGAGGTCAAAAGGTACAAACTTCCAGCGATAAAATAACTAAGTCATGGGGGTGAATGGATACCATGATGTCTATAGTTTTTAATACTGTACTGTATATTTGAAAGTTTGCTAGGAGAGTAGATCTTAAAAGTTGTTACAAGAAAAAAAAGATTTGGGGTGTCCGGGTGGCCCAGTCAGTTAAGTGTCTGCCTTTGGCTCATGTCATGATCCCAGAATCCTGAGATCAAGCCCCACGATGGGCACCCTGCTCAGTGGGGAGTCTGCTTCTCCCTCTCCCTCTGCCGCTCCCCCTGCTTGTGTGCACGCGCTCAAGTAAATAAATAAATCTTAAAAAAAAAAAAAAATTTTTAACTATGTGTGGTAACAGATGGTTAATTAGACTTACTGTGGTGATCATTTCACAATATATACAAATACTGAATCATTACATTGTACATCTGAATCTCATGTTACATGTCAATTATCTCAATTAAAAAATAAGAAATTATCCCATAAATATTTATATAAAAACATTCATTATAGTTTTAAGAATGAAAAACTGGAAATAATAAGCATCCTTCAATACAGAATAGGTTTATCATGACACATTTATATAAAGGAATACTATCCAGTTATTTAAAAAAAAATGAGGTACATAAATCACTATCATAAAAAAAAAATCCAAGACATGAAAACTCGGGAGGTAGAACAGCATATGCAGCACGATGCCACGTGTATAAAATATTCACAAACGACATATGTGCTGGTAAATGTACAGAAAATATTTAGAATAACAAACACCTATTATTTATAGAAAATGAAATTAGTGGAGCCAGGAGGTGATCTTTTCCACTTCTATACTATTAATGTTTTTAATATGAGGTCATACTACTCTTATAATAAATGTTTCTAAAAAGTCCATTTACGGGGACCCAGGGTGGCACAGTCGGTTGACTATTGGTTTCAGCTCAGGTCAAGATCTCCAGATCCTGAGATCAAGCCCCACATCAGGCTCCACACTCAGCATGGAGTCTGCTTGAGATTCTGTCTCCCTCTGCCCTTCCCTGCACTAGCTTGTTTGCTGGCTCTCTAAAGTAAATAAATCTTAAAACAAAACAAAATAGTCCATTTACAACTGGAAGAAAATAGTCCTACATTCTTTCATAAAGATTAATATTTTAACTAATCTTATACATAATGAAACTAAAATATATGTTAGGTAAACCACCAGGCAATGTCTTAGGTTTATTCTTTCAAACTACAGTGGGTAGTTAGTAGTTTTTCTAATAAATACAGTGCTAGGAAACTGTTCCATTACTCATTAAACTTACTGTAAAGTATTCATATGCTATACAAAATCCAGTACTATATATAACAAACACCATTAAAAAAATTAATTGCCTCACCTCTTCTACTCTGCACTGAAGCAACAGAAAAAAAGAGACAGGAAAAGATTAGGAATATAGAGAATTCACACATTTGTATATAAAACTGCAGATCTGGAAGCATTCTAAATTAAAGCATAAAAATACTACTCAGAATAGAATTTTAAAGTGTTTATTAATATTATACTAGATTCTACAGAAATAATGGAAAATATGAATGTTAAGTAGCATTGACCAAGCATTTTTATATCTAAAATACTTAATTTGATTTCCATTTAAGGGAAAAATTTTCCAGCCAAGTTTATAAGAGTACTTACTGATCTGATTCAAAGTTTCCTGAGGAATCCAACTCATGTCAACATCATTCTGACTTGATGTACCCATCTCTACCTTCTGTATGGGTCTCTTGCGCTAAAAGAGCATAAAAACATTATTTTAAAGGAGTTCTATTATAATGTGCACTATAATATTAAAAAAGTGTATTAAGCTACCTAATTTAAATATCTTAAACAAATACATCCTCTTCAAAACATATTCGTACTTAAGTATTTTATTAATTAGAAAGAGAAAATCATGCCTAACACCAATTATAAAGAATAAATGATAAGGAATAAATCTTCACAACGATTTATTTTCAGGTTTTAAAGGCCTTTTCCTCTGCTATAAAACTTCATAGGTCGGTGGGCTGGTGGACCAACTAAGAACTTCTACTTATACAGTGATTTTCTTTCCCTTTGGGAATCAAATCAAAGAATAAATTTATTTTAACATCCAACAAAATTCCAGATAATTACTGAAACACTGCATGCAGGCAGGTAGATTTCTGCACTGTTGGCATAGATAAAACAAAAATTTTAAACTCATTTAAGCTAACAACCTCAAACTCTGTCCCTGGAGTATATGCAGCAAGACCGCTAGGAAGAAAGTGATTCAATTCCTTCCTTAATCTTGCTCTTAAACAACAAACCTAATCATTTACGTAAGAGTATTAGGTATACAGTCCAAAAACTGGACTCTGAATACACGAAAAGTAACTAAAAATGGCTTCATTCAAATAAAAAAACAAAAACTGGAGATGTCATTATACCTAATACATAAATCTATAGCAAAAATGCTATTATGAAAATGAGGTAAAGTTATGGAAATTAACACTTGAGCACTAAATACTTCTCTTTTAAAGAGCAAGTACTTAATAAAAATTTGACACAAAACTTGTTATACTTTCCACTGAGAGGAATAATATGGGTTGTTCCTTTTTTTTTTTTTTTTTTTTTGCAGGGAGGACAGGGAGATAAAGATACAGTGAAAGAGAAATCATGATTATAACAGGTGCTTCAGTGTTGCCATTTTACTGCCCTAACAAGAAAGCAGAAGTTTGATAGAATACAGCCAAATTTATTTTCTTTTTCAAATGAAAAGACTCATTTAATTGCTAACTGGAAATTATCCCCAGAGTTAAAAGAATATTAAAGCAAATATAAAAGCTGTGTTGCTTCTAGGTAGAATAACATATCCATGAAAAAGTATAGTAAACAGAACAATGAAATCTTATGTCTGAGTTTAAGAAATAAAAATTCTAGCATGATTTAGAATTACAATATAAAAGTAAAGACCATTCTGGAGGGTGTAGCCAAAAGACCCTAAATGCATTTGTGTATGGAAGTCTAAACAGATCCAAGTCACATATCCAAGGTCTCACCTTCAGGTTTTATTTTTAAAAAGGTACAACAAACGTATAAATACACAAACCCACAGTTGAGAGCAAGAAGCCACAAATAACTAGATTATACTTAGCATGGTAACAACTTCTGAAGTATGGCTATAAGAGTCATTCATCTAGAATTACCTTTCTAGATTCCAGGAGTTGGTGAAGGCCAACAACAACCAAGAGCCCAAGACCAGCAAGGAACATATACATAAAGATTCTGATATAAAAGGAGAAAAAAACTGGCTTTAATTCTTAAGAAACACCGCAACTAATTAAAACTGTAATTCTGCTCTAACTCAAACAATATCACAGCTATAATTACAACTATAATTCTTTTAATTTTTTTTAAGATTTTATTTATTCATTTGAGACAGAGAGAGAGGGAGAGGGAGAGAAAGCATGAGCAGGGAGAGAGGCAGAGGGACAGGGAGAAGCAGGCTCCCCGCCGAGCCAGGAGTCCGATGTGGGGCTCGATCCCAGGACCCTGGGATCATGACCTGAGCCGAAGGCAGACGCTTAACCATCTGAGCCACCCAGGCGCCCCTACAACTATAATTCTAACACGATATATGCTTTCCAAATAACTTGGGGGGCAAAGGAAGAAAATATTTTATATTCAACTTAAATCTAGATAGTTAAGTTTCACAGATTTACTTTATCTTTAAGAACAGTCAAAAAAAGCAATTATATGATCTAAAATGAATAAAATTTCCTTATAATTTATTACACCCAAGCTCAGATTTTGCATAATTTGACTTAAAAATTGCTTTTGGTCAATTACATATAGGTAGTGACAAATGACTCACCCTCATTCACCAAGAACACAGTTTTTAAGATAACATCTAGTTTGTATTTTTAATAGCAATTGAAGAGGTATATAACTTAGATGAAGCTGGTGATCAGCTCATGAGCATGAGGTAGAAAAGAATTTAGAAAGAGGGGACATTCAGAAAGCTAGCTATCTTTTTATTTTTTTTTTTAAAGATTTTATTTATTTGACAGAGAGAGACAGCGAGAGAGGGAACACAAGCAGGGGGAGTGGGAGAGGGATAAGCAGGCTTCCCGCCGAGCAGGGAGCCCAATGTGGGGCTCGATCCCAGGACCCGGGGATCATGACCTGAGCCAAAGGCAGACACTTAACGACTGAGCCACCCAGGCGCACCCAACTATCTTTTTAAAACAATTTTTGTCATTTCCCATTATCCTTCCTAACTCACTACTAATAGTTATAAAAATCACCTAAAATACGGATTTACATAGACAGGATTTCACAAAAATCTACAGTCTGGTCCATTTTCACTATTAAAACAAATGTTGACAAGAGTAAGCCTTCCAGGACTGCCCTGTGAGATCAAGATCTACATATTGCAAATTTCACTTACGTTTCTCCATCTAACCCATCCTCTCTTTCAATAATCGTAACTGTTTGATTGAAGACAGCATCTTGGAATACATTGCCCTATTAATATAATAAATCACAAAAATGTCAACAGCATTGAAAAAAATAAAAGATTTTAAGATTTCTTAAAACCATTACCCTAACAGATATAAAACAGTTTTCTCATCATTTAGGTAAGACTCAAAAAAGTCACATGTACACTCACTCAAAGTTATAATATTACTTTCTTCCACAAAATAAAAAATGCCTCCAACTTTGCTAAAGTTGTCCTCTGCTTTCATGAGGGCAGGGAAGGGGAAATGTGTGAGAAACCAGGGAAGTAAAATAAAGAGGGGATAAATGCACAGAAAGCAGCAAAGCCCATAGAACACCCATAAACTAGAAGCCATAACTTCTGTTGTGTATAATCCTCCAAAAAAAGGGGAAGAGCATGAAAATATATATAGTAGCAGCTGTAGTAGCAGATTTAAGAACTATACTTGAACGGAAGTCAAATCCATGTTCTAACTTCACAATGGATTGGGAAATCAATTTACAATAAACGCAATTTTCAGTACCAAAATATTTTTCTGTTGCGGTCTTGGAATAATTTTGTCAGTTCAACACAGCTTCAGTTTTCAAACACAAGAATCACTGGGACAATACATAGATAGCTGTTTCCAGTGTTTGATGCTTCACACTAAGGCAGTACTTCTCAAAACTTGTCACTTATTGCTAAACTATAATTATGTAAGGTTTACTTCAAAATCTTTCCACCTGCATTCCTCCAATGACAATTCCAGGAATCAGAATACACTGATACAAATTAACATTCAAAATGGTACTAAAACTGAATATGTGTCTGTTGGATTAAGTTTAATTCTGCCTGAAAACAAAACAAAATATATAACTATTCAAACCACTTAACTATAAAGTTGAGGAAGATTAATATATTTTGAAGGATGAAAAACTCTTCCCACTAATTAAAAAAAAAAAAGAAAACTTAATTGCAGCATGAGAAATTTATCTTAGACATGAGTAAACATGTTGACACTACATGAAAAAAAGGTTGAGTAAGCTTCCAAAAGAGGATGAAATTTCCTTCTCTGAAAATTTTTTGAAAAGGAAATGGTTTAGATGTGCTCTCATCTGAAGGATGTAATAGTTGGCACCTACAGGTCAACTCCCAGCAGTAACATTCTAGGGGCTTCTCTCATTCATATATATACATATATATAATATATATGTGTGTGTATATATATATATATATATATATATATGTATATAAATGCACAAGACAACAGAGCTTATATTAGACTATTTGGTTCTCATAAACCATAAACCTCACTGCTCTATCCTAAAAATATCTGATTATATTTTTATCTACGAGCATATAAAATGATGGAAAAACAGTACAGAAAGCCCTTAAAACTTACAAATAACCCTCTCCCACTCCTCCTGCTTGTGTTCCCTCTCTCACTGTGTCTCTCTCTGTCAAATAAATAAAATCTTTAAAAAAACTTGCAAATAAAAGCAGTAAAATGGGCAAAATGCAAGCAATGAATGGAGGTACAAAACAAACTACTCTATATATTTTAACATCTTAATAAGCAATAGACTCCACTGTGTGGCTTACTGTTCTTTTAGGCTCAAGCTCAAGTCACATCTGCTTTCCCACTACAGCCCCTAACACTCATCTCTAGTATGTATCACTTATGCTGGAATATCACTTGTTTTTATCTATCTGCCCCACTGGATTCTAGACCTGAAGACAAATACGTGCAACTTATTTTTGCCTCTCTGTTGCCCATCACAGTTCCAACCATAAACAGGCACTTGAATGAATAAATTTAAGCGTATTCATCAAACAATGTCAATTGTCCTCATCCATCTCTAACTTAAAAAAAAAGGTTTAGAGGGCCTTACATTCAAATCTTTGTAGTTCAGATTGATGACTAGACCAAAGGGTCGTCCACCCATGGGCTCTGCAGGAATGAAGGAATATTCAAAAGTTGCCTGTCTCTGGGGTGGTACTACAGTGTTCAGAGGAAGAGCTGTGAAATTCTGGATATAAAACTGGTAGTCCTGAGGATAACGGAATGAGGCATCTAAGGATTCAACAATAAAATCTTCTGTACCCTTGTTTGTAAAGCCTACTAGGAACTTCACAATGTTATTCGCTGGAAAATCTAAGAAACAAACAAACAAAAAGAAACCAGAAGATTACAAAATGTTCAAAGCACACAAAATAATAGACATTACTAAGGATTTGGGTACCCTTTTCTACAAATGGACCTGGTTTCAGAATCTCTTTCAGTAGTGCACTCCAGTTACCCCCTAGTAACTGATTACAATTGGTGTATAAACTAAAACCCTTGTCTTTACTCTAGCATTCTAACTTCAGAACTGAACGGAGCATCCCAGTGTTAGACTCTATCACTTCCACGCTGTGTGGTCTAAGAAGGAGTTGTGTACTTTTAGTAGTAAGATTATCTTGCAGTGGGACTACTTGTCTTGAAGTCACTTCCAACTTATTATCTGTTATCTGTGCAGATAAGAATGACAGAAAGGTAAGTCTAAGAGGTCCACCTGAAAATCATAGTATCTGTTAAAGTATTGAAAAAAAAAAATTAGGGGCGCCTAGGTGGCTCAGTCGTTAAACATCTGCCTTTGGCTCAGGTAGCCCTGCTCAGCAGGAAGCCTGCTTCTCCCTCTCCCACTCTCCCTGCTTGTGTTCCCTCTCTTGCTGTCTCTGTCAAATAAATAAATAAAATATTTAAAAAAAAGAAAAAAATTAACCCGGTAACCCATACCACTTTAAGCAATCAGTCAAAACACAAATTTGAAGGTACAACCCAATGAGGAAGCTATAAAAAAAAAAAAGGAGGGAAAAATCTCTTAATCAAATCATACTTTTTGTAGGCATTAAATTCGAATATATGTGGGAATAAAACAAAACTTGAGAAGACCAAGATAATTAATAACTTCAAAAAGAAAAGTCTTCAATAATTATATGTGGCCTACAGAGCTGAGTTTCACCCAGTTTAGCAGAGGCTTTGGGACAGACTCATCTGGGTCCGTCTTCAAAATCTATTTACCAAATGAGTAACCCTGGACACGTTCTTCACCTCTCTAAACCTCAATTTATTTTTTTTTTTAAAGATTTTATTTATTTATTTGAGAGAGAGAGAATGAGAGAGAGCACGAGAGGGAAGAGGGTCAGAGGGAGAAGCAGACTCCCTGCTGAGCAGGGAGCCCGATGCGGGACTCGATCCCGGGACTCCAGGATCATGACCTGAGCCGAAGGCAGTCGCTTAACCAACTGAGCCACCCAGGCGCCCCTAAACCTCAGTTTAACAGTAACTATCCTCATACGGTTTCTGTTAAGATTAAATGAATGCACACAAAATACTGAGCACAGTGTTTATTTATAGCTCTCCATAAATATAAGACATCATTATTTTCTTTTAATGAAACTAGGCTCTAATCGAGGCCTAATCATACAGATTTAATATTTCACTAATATTTACACTCAAATTATGAATCAGTTTACTGTGGCAATTTGAAAAAAGTTGAAAAACAGTTTCTTCCAAAAGAACATTTAACTTCTAATTAAAATAGATAGTATTTAATTTCCCCCTTAGTTTAAATGCCAGGAATACTACCTTATAGATATGGGTAATCACACATTAAGAGGATTTTTTTGAAATACGTATTTATACCATACTTGTAATGTAAGAAAGAGAAAAGATGAATAAAGATCTTAAGCATTACTAACGCCTCCCCAAAAAAGTGAGCTTGTCATTTGAAAAATTCCTATGTCTGAGTTAAAACTAACATTTCTCTATTACCTTCTCCTTTCACAAACAGGATAGTTGTATCTGCACTTGGCGAAGCTTCAGGTTCACCAGATACATCTTCTTCCTCTTTATCTTCAGCCTAACAAAAACAACATTAGAAAGATAATTATGGAGGAAAATACATCATTTAAAAATAATGACTTCACTAGATTTGGGACAAAATACTTCTTCTCCAAGACTTTGCTGGGATTAGTAGTGGTATGAATTTCAGTGTATCTCATCAGTTAACATAAAACTTCCAGAGTGGTGCATCTCAAAGAATAACATGCATACTAATCCCCTGGGGATTTTATGCAGCTCTGATACAGTTCTAGGGAAAGCCTGAAATTCTGTATTTCTAAAAGCACCCAGGAAATACCAAGGCTGCAGGTACTCAAGCCACATTTTGGAACTGTAAGGTTCTAGAGCATGGGTTGGTAAACTTTTATCTGTCTAGTTTGAAAAAAGTTTAAAAACAGTGTCTTTCAAAGGAACATTTAATTCGCAGTTAAAACAAACAGTATTTATTTTCCCCCTCACAGAACAATTTTCCTGTGAGAAGATGTCACACAACTTGGAAGAAGTGGTTTAAAAAAAAAAGTGAGCAGGATCATACTGGGATAATGGAAAGGTCCTAAAATTCAGAGTTGCTCAACTTGGTACATTTACTATGGATTGTTGAATTATATGTTTAAAACAGGTTAATAGTATGATATGTAAATTATATCTCAATGAAGTAGTTACAAAATGTGAACAAATTTTAATTTAAAATTTTAATCCTCGGGGCACCTGGGTGGCTCAGTTGGTTAAGCATCTGCCTTCAGCTTAGGTCATGATCCCAGGGTCCTGGGATCGAGACCCGCATCTGGCTCCCTGCTCAGTGGGGAGCCTGCTTCTCCCTCTCCCTCTGCCCCTTTCCCCCACTCATTCTGTCAAACAAATAAATGAAATCTTAAAAAAAATTACCTTTAAAAAAATTTTAATCCTCAGTGCAGCACTTCTGTAGGCATCAATGAGGATTATCATTTAGGAATGAGAGATACTCATACACTTCAAGTGTTCAGGTCTTTAATAAATTGAGATGCTTAAGGGCACCACTGTTTATTGGCATTTTGCTTTTCTCACTTACGTAAAACACTCTCTCTCCCAATAGACAGACTTCTCAAGGGCAAAGACTGTCTTATACTTTAAAAATTCTTCACACCCAGCTCATACACTCAAGAGAAGACACTCAGACATTTGTTCGATGACTGTGCAATTGTTTGATGTTATATATTAAGTATCCTTAATGATACCCTTCATTTAGTAAGAGTTAGTGAATTTCTACTTTTGAGAAAAGAGACCCACAAATAGGAAGAGACCAGAGACAAGAAGGCAGAAACCATAAGCTGTAATAAGGAGGAAAGAGTATACTTGAGAAATGGTTAAGAGAAATCACCCCGAAGATTTGATTAATGGGTTGTGGGATAAAAAGAAATGGAAGTCCTAAGGCAAGAGCTTGAACCACTAGAGCCGTTATCAAAACAGAAAACAGTTTATGGAGGTGGGATGGATGGTAAAAGCTGAATTCCATTTTGAAGATATAAAATTTCAGGTATGAATGGAGTATCCAGATGGTGCTATCCGGCAGAGAGTGGAAATAAAGGTATGGAGCTCAGTAAAGTAAATAGCTAGAGACAAGATCTGAAGGTCATCGGTAAAAGGTGGTGCTGGTTGAACCCATGTGTTTCATCAACATTAAGGAGCCAAGCAGAGGGAGGGAAGGTGGTAGAGACCAAGCAGCAGCAGCTGGGCAGAGGAAACTAAAGGGGCGGGGAACAGAAGCCAACATGAAGAGACTCAAGGAAGGGGTACTCTGCAAATGCTACAAATGCTAACAAGGGTTCGAACAGGTTAACAATGAAAAACAGGCCAGGAATTTCGCAATTAGGTCAGTGGTGACTTAGCAAGAACAGTTTTACTAGCTACATCGGACCAGACCACAGTACAAATGTGAAGTAAGTAGAGTGGTACAGCTTACTCTTTTTAAGATATGTGCTGGTAAAGAAAAGAAAATATGTAGCAACTTAAAGCGGAGGAATAAGGAAGTGGCGTATTATAAGCACATGCATAACTTAACAGAATCAAGTCACTGAGAAGGAACAATGAAGTTACAGAAGGAAAGAATAATATAAAATCCCACAGGACGAGATGGGGACAAGCACACAGGTGGTAGGGCTAGCCTTAGAAAGAGTAAAGACAACTATTTTTAAAGGAGAAAATGTAGAAAGGATGAGTGAATAATATATTTAGAAGTAGAAATTTGATAGAGTTCACACTTGATGGCCTTCGTTTTTCTGACACTGAAGGCAATGTGTTGCTAAGTCTGTGAAGAGGACTGATTCTGGAGTTTAAAAATTTGTGCAGGATACATTATAGTCCAAGAGAGGAAATAAAACTAGCTAGAAGCATGCTGCAATGATCTTGATTCTAGCCCAAAATTCTTACTGTTTTACTGTAATTTCATAGTAAAAATTTCAGAAAAAAATTTAAGAGATCTTCTCTAAGCCCCTTCCTCTTCACAGGACACATTTTATATACTGTTTACTGCCTGCTCCTCACTTCCTGACACCAAAACACATATATATTACCCCAAGAACAGAAACTCCATGAGAGCAAATACCTGGTTTGTTTACTCCAGCACTGGGAAAAGTTCCTAGCACACAGTACGGACCCAGTAAATATTTGCTTACTGAATGAAGGAAAAAAAGATCCAGAGAGAGAAGCTACTCAAAGTCAAAAAGCTAAGTAGCATGCATCCCAAATCTATCAACACTGATCCAGTGCCATTCCCACTCTGTACCCTCTTAGACTCATGTCCATATGATCTTTAATTGTTGTTTCATGTCTCCTTCCGTGTGCAAGAAAATACCATGATCCATCCTCAGTCACTGCCCCGTCTCCCAACTTCAATCCACTCTGATCACAGTAACAAACCCCTAAAAGCAAGAATTTTAATATCAAATTTGTCTATAAAAAGATGAATGCTAGGGGTGCTTGGGTGGCCCAGTTGGTTAAGAGTCTGCCTTTAGCTAAGGTCATGATCCCAGGGTCCTGGGATTGAGGCCCACATCACGCTCCCTGCTTAGCGGGGAGTCTGCTTCTCCCTCTCCTTCTGCCTGCCACTCCCCCTGCTTGTGCTCTCCCTCTCTGTCAAATAAATAAAATCTTTAATTAAAAAAAAGGATAAATTCTAGAAATGATATGAGCATGAATTACATTGTATAGAACACTAACCAAATCTGTAGGTTCATCTTCTTCCACCTCTGCTTCATCATCTTCATCTTCGATTATTGAATCTTCCACTGTTTCTTCATCTTCTGTAAGATCCTGAGCTGTAGCTAATGAGCCTAACAATAAAATACAAAACAAGCAGTTAACCTTTACCCCTGGCATACCAGTGCTTTTTTAGTCCCAGGTATAGGCAATACATTTTCCCCCTTGGAGTAATTCAATTTCCCAGTTCCCTTGAAAGATACCAAATTACAATGCATCTAGAATATTCATGATTTTATCTTATCGACAGTCTTACCAACAATATGTTAACTTTAATGGGAAATGCTGTTTAATTTTCAAAAGCACTTAATTGTTGGGAAAATAAACTGCTGAAACTAAAGATGCCTTGGAGCTCAGATAAAAAACTTTAAGTTTGTTTTAAAACTAAGACACCCCAGGGGTGCGTGGGTGGCTCAGTCGGTTGAGAGTCTGCTTTCAGCTCAGTAATGGTCCTAGGGTCCTGGGATCAAGCCCCACATCACCCTTCCTCCACCGCCCCATCAGGCTCCTTGCTCCAAGGGGAGCCTACTTCTCCCACTCCTGCCCCTCCACCTGCTTGTGTGCACTTGTGCGCGCTGTCAAATAAATAAATAAAATCTTAAAAAATAAAAGTAAGCAGTTCCAAAATTTAATCCTATTATTAACCATACAAACAAAAAAAAAAACCCCTTCTCAGGTCTAAAATTGAGAAAATAGCAACCTCAATAACTAGGCAAGAAACATTTATTAAAGTTGACTACAACTCAAACTCTTAGAACTTAATAGCATGTAAGTCCAAGGAACAAATACTTATATGGCATCCACGGTAAAAACTAGCTTGCATAAAGCACATTTCGTAAAATAAAAACTATACTGGCAACTTCAAGGATGATAGCATTGAAAGCATGCATCTATTTTTGCATATGGCTTCAAACATGTTTTAAGTACTTTATTTCCCCTACACTTAAAAATTAACCGTAACTGGGGCGCCTGAGTGTCTCAGTCATTGAGTGTCTGCCTTCGGCTCAGGTCGTGATCCCGGGGTCCTGGGATCGAGCCCCGCATCGGGCTCCCTGCTCCACGGGAAGCCTGCTTCTCCCTCTCCCACTCCCCCTGCTTGTGTTCCCTCTCTCGCTGTTCTCTCTGTCAAATAAATAAAATCTTAAAAAAAAAAATTAAGCATAACTGTAAGGCCAAGAAATTATAATTTTATAGGCAAAAGTTCTCTAAATAAGTCGTATTAAATCTCAGGCAAGACACTCAAAAGAAATTTCAAAGTTCTAGTGACTCTTCCAACATTTCTCAGAAAGAATGATGATGTGGCAATTCAGGAGGGAGAAAAATGTGGGAAAGGAAGCATGTGTACATGCTGCAATACCCAGGAAAAACAGTATATGTTAAGGACTCTGCATTTTAAGCCCTTTCCACTTCCTTGAGTTTTTACCAGCTGTTAAGATTTATGTAAAACATTAAAGAACACTGAACCACACATTATGAACTAAAAAACAGCTTCTACTGTTTGCTGAAAAAAGACAGTGCATTCATAATTTACAAGTCATTTTCTAAAACCAGTAAGAAAAATACCTAAACTGACATAATTTTAAGTTGGACTTAAATTTCAAGACTAAATATGTACAATGGCTTTTCACCGTACATTTCAGTAGGTATTAATATTAACCAGTAACAATTTTGTGCCTAAAAAGTCTAGCAATTCTCAGTTGGAAAAATTAAGAAAAAAATATCCTTTGAAAGAAAGACCACTCCTCACAAAAAAATGTTTAAAGATACCCAGTTAGGTTTAGATACAATTCAGGTTTCTTTTTTCTTTTTTCCTTAAAAAAGAAAATGTTTTCAAACCTGAAAAACATACTCTGGATTCTAAGTAAGTACAACTGTCAAATTTTCTTTAAAAAGCCAAATAAAAACAAACCAGCAAGCAACTCATAAAGAAAAAGAATCCCTCTTTAAACCTGCAAATGAATTCATTAACAGGTTTGGTTAATTCTCTCATTTGCTTTTCTACCCACTAAAGAGAAACCAGTCTCACTTCACTTTTCTTTGCAAAAGCACTCGGGGATACCTGTCACTATCATTCGTTTTGCCATACAGCTTGCTTAAACTTACAGAATGAAAGGAATTCTAGTGATCGTTTAGTCAGACTGACTTTTACAGATTAGAAAACTGAAGTTCATAATAGAACCAGGGCAAAAAGACAAGTTTCCACATCTTTAATGTTCTGTTATTTTCACACCAGATTAACTGTTGGAAAAGAATAAACCGAAATACGCCTATAATGTCGAATTCGATCCCCCCCCCCCAGGGCAATGCGATGCTTCCACAAAACAAAAAAAGTTATAGAAAAAAGGAAGAAGAAAAATGAGGGCTCAAGTAATAGGCAGGATTCCTCAGTCGGCCTGGGAGTAGGGGTGGACAATGAAGGCGAAGATGCGGAGTTTTTCTGAAATGAAGACTCCTGGTAACACACAGGGGTCAGGAGCTGATAAACTGGGAAATGACCAGAAAGGAGGTGAGGGGGCGGAGATGCTCTAAGAGTTTAAGTGTGTAGAAACCACGGGTTTCAGCAAATGAATGAAGGAAGACTCCCAACGTGGAAGCCAAAGACACGTCAGCCCAGAGCGGATGGGGGTGGAGCGGAGGCGGCCAGAAGAAATACAACGGGCTGCAGCGCGCTCAGGGTGCAGCTGTGCCCACTGCCCCCTCGCCCTCTTCCCTAAGCCGAGGACCCACCAACTCCGGCCACAGCTGCAGGCGCGGGTCCCGGGCCAGGGGAGAAACCCAAGGCTAGGGGCGGCCACCAAGCAAGGTCGCCCGGCACTGCCCCGCACTCCGCTGGAAGGGGCAGAGGCCCTAGCGGGGGTTCGCCCCGCGCGCGCTAGGACCCCCCCTACTACAAGCCGGGGGTCGGGGAGGGGTGGGGAGAGGCTGGCGGGACGGACGCCGGACCCAGGAGCCGCTGCCACCTCCAGCTTCAAAACTTGGCTGTCGCTGGCGTCTCCTTCCCGGCCAGGACCCGCCGCCTACCCCCTTCGCCTCACCTCCAGAGCCGCTGCGGAGCAAGAGGGTAGCGGGGAACACGAGCAAGAGAAGCAGAAGCAGGCGGGAGAGGTATCTCATGGCGCAGCCGATCCGGTGTCCAGTCACCGCCCGCCAGTGCTCTCCGCGGCTCCGGCGGTAATGGCGTTACTCTTCATCCGGGCTCCGGAAGGGGGCGGGGCACGCACCACGCACGGGCCCTTGCCACACCCCCTCCTCTGGCCGAGGAACGCCGCCAACGTGGCTTCTTGGCTGGGAGTGGTGGGGAGCGCGGGCAGCCCCAGGAGTCACGTGACCGGCTGCCCGGGGCTTCTGACTTGCCCGCGAAAGTGCGCCTCCCTCAGTAGTCGCGGGCTGGCCGCCTGCGGTTTGTTGCTCGCCGCGCCCGGCTCGTCCTTCGGCCCCAATTAATTAGCGTCGTAAGTAGTTTGCTTTATTTGAATGACGATCTGCCTGGTGCCCCGGCGCGGTAGTCTTTGTATAATTTTAATAGTGATAGAAGGGATATGAACTACCGTGTGTAGCACTGAAAAGCAAAGATGTTTTGTAATACATGTTTGTTCAAAAAACGCAAAAAGCCTAAAAAATGGACAGTGGAAAATTTTGGCTCCTATCCGCCCACACCCTCACCCATAAATAGTGAGTTCTTAAATTCTTGACATTCCAGAATTATAAATCGCCTAGAACGGTGCCTGGCATATTGTAAACATTTGGCAAATATATGATAGAGGCAACAATGGCTGTTTAGTGTCCTTCACTTTCCTTCTCTTCTAGTTAGACTTTAGGTTGCTACCAATACTCTGGTATTTCATGCCATTAAACGGTGTGAGTACCAAGTACTATTGGGCTGGACCGGTGTGAGATATCCTAGGGATGATGAAACAAACTAACGTTGATTGCGTGCTTACTATTGTCAATCACTATCTCTTAAGAACTGTGCTTTCATGTATAATTTATATAATCTCTAAAAATCCCTATGAGCTGGATATTATTTACTGAGAAGAAAAGAGACACAGTAAGGTTAAAGGCTTAAAGGCTAGTCAAAGGCAGATGCAAGATTTGAACCTGGCAGTCTGGTTCCAGATTCCTGCTCCATGGCCTAGAACCATCTGCTGTTCTATTCCTGCACTGGCTCTGCTCAAGGCCTCACTGGCCTGGGGACCCTGTACAAGCAGCGTGTGGCTGCTGTTGCCACTAATTCTGTCTGCTAAAATCACAGCCTGACAGTGCTGGGCTGAACCAACTCAGGTCCACGCCCCACCACCGGGCCACCAGTGTCACTGCCACTGCCGCTGTTAAGAAGAAAACTCACAGGCCCAAAATGGCATCATTTAGGCCAGATCACCAAATCTGAACTTGATACACAACGTAATTGCAGTTTCAGCTTCCCCCAGAAACGCAGTCTTAAGCAGTCAGTCGGGAATTTTCTGATCAGCATCAATAAGGAATCTTGTCACATGGGCCCTTCGCCAACCTCCAAAAGAAGGTAAGGTAATCAACCTAACAAGACAGCCTGTCCTTCCCTCTAAGGGGCAGGTGACTGTGCCTGAAACAATCCTTTCTTTTCTTTTGCTAATAACTTCTTGCCCCACCCTCCTTCCTATAAAAACTTTCCATTTTGAACACCTCCTCCTCAGAGCTGACCTCTACATGCTAGATGAGATGCTGTCCAATTTATGAATCACAATATGAGCCAAGTAGATCGAATTTACTCGGTTCAGTTTTGGTTTTTTAACATGGCTGAGGCAGCCACTCTGCTGCTGCCTCCATTTCTGTGGGCCACTCTGTGCTAAAGCCACCAAGGCCACGGCCACGACTTTGCGGCTGAACCTTGCCGAGCACTTTACTGGCAAGGGAAGACTGTCCCTCCCCAACTTTCTATTTCGTGAGTTTCACATCAGGCCTTTTCTGAGTTCCTGATGTCTGACAGGTTTTTTGACAAACGCATCCTTCTATTTAACTTGCGGCTGTCTCCTTGCACCAAGAAGTGTGAACCGTGTAACAGAAAATAGACGTTATACAGTGCTCAATATCACCTCTTCTCTCCTTTCTGGACCAAGGATATCTCACTGACTCCTTTCCCTTCAGAGGATTGACTTCCAGTGGGGAGGATTCTCATTATAATTAAAATGAGATTCCTATTAGGTCCGTCTCTCCAGTTCTCAGGACATAGCCTGAACCAGGAAGGATAATCCAGTTCAGGCTTAAACTGGGACTGCCACACCAGGTATCAAATGATTGCTAATGGATTTTATTTCGGACTTGAATTTTAGAGAACCAGCTGCTAAATGCTCATCAGGGACAAATAAAATGTGCCTACTCTGGATGCGACTGACATGCAGAATTTAGGGAAAATAAAAACATGCAACCAGAAAACAAACATATGTGACTGTGCAGTGGGTATAAAAATAAAAAGTAGTTGCTTGTGGATCAGGGAAGTAAAATACTCACCCTGGTCTGGGTGCTCACAAACCTTTTATTATCATGATCTATATTCTCCCTATAATAAGCAGCTTTCTCTTGGTGCCCACCCAGAGCTCTCCCCATTAGTTGGTTCCAATCCTTGATTCATGGAATTAAGAATCTATCCACTAATAGAAGGGGCACCTGGCTGGCTTAGTCAGTAGAGCATGTGACTCTTGATCTCGGGGTTGTGAGTTTGAGCCCCATGTTGGGGGTAGAGATTACTTAAAAAATAAAATCTTTTTTAAAAAAATCTATCTAATTTATTTAGATCTTTCCAAATATTTCCCCATGCTCTCCCTCTCTCTCACCTCTGCACCTCTCTCTCTAAAGATACTCTGTTTTCCAGGAATATACCACATCCGGTTATTCTCCTTTATGTGGCTCAGGCAGATCTACAGTTGATTTTCCACTTTTGTCATTTTATTCCCTTGGAATTTGTAGAAGCAGAGCCATCTCTTCCTCTGATTACTTAAGAGTTCCCCTCATGGTGAATGGGATCATTAAGCACCAGTTTTGGTTCTGTTATATTCCTCCAGATTATCACATAGCTGAGGAACTTCCTCATTCCCCTTAAACTTTTGCTCAACTGTTACCTTGTTAGTGGGTCTTACCTTCGCTGCCTAATTTAAAACCACAACTCTCCAACCTTCCCTCCCCCACACTCTCTATTCCCTTCCTTCTATTCTCCTTCATTCATAGCACTTGTTACCTTCTCACACAATGTATATAGTTGATTATGTGTCCTGTCTGGAAACATCTGGAGGCCAGGGATCTTTGTGCCTTTGAGTCAACGTTACAGAAGAGTACTCTCCATGGTAACTCAGAAAATATTTGTTGACTTTGTTGTATTGTTACAAGTGACATCTTTTCTCCACAAATTTGCCACCTCAGTTTAATTGTAGGCTTAATAGGAAATGAAAAAATATCAAGAAAAAAAAAGAATTGTGTTTATTGCATGCAAGCAAAGACTTAAGTGTTCTTTCACCTAGCAAGGGCTGAAGAAAAGAATTGGTTTCTTTGTGCTATCCTTTACCTCTGAAAGAAAATCCTCATGGAAAGGGGGCAGTACAGGAAAAAGAGGCAGAAAATAAAGACTTTCAAAGGAGTCCTGACTCCTCGCTTAGAAGGAGGGCTTATATTCTCTCACCAGCCTCCCGGGCATTCTTCCCATCTGGTTCTCTTTCTGCACAATGCACAGACCTCCCCAGCTCAGATTTCCTTGAAAAGAACCAGTGGACAAAAGCACAGTCACCTGATCACTGTCCACAAAACCTGCCACTTACCTCCATCTGTACACTTGGGCTCTGCCTTCCTTTCTGTTACAATAAAAAATATTTATAGGCCCACAAAGGGCATCCACCATTTGTGGTCTGCGTCCTATCTCCTGCTCAGAAACGTGTGATTCTGAGAATAGCTCTCTCTTCTCTATCTCATAATAAATTTCTACTTCTCCAGTTCATCGTTCCCAACAACATGCAAACATCCTGTAATATTGCCCATCTTAAAAAAACAAAACTCCCTGTGGCCCCTGTTCCCCTTCAGCAACAGCCTCCTTTCTCTGCTCTCTGACACAGTAAAACATCACTATCTCACCCTTCAATTTTCTTCTCCACCTATTCCAACGAGGCTTTTATTTTTACCGCTGAAACATCTCCATCTTGCTAAATCACAAAGTCTTCATCTGATCCCGGCCCCCACCCTTCTTTCACACTTGTTCTTCTAGGCTCAGTGACAACCTTACTCTCCTAGTTTTCTTCCCACTTCGCCAGCCCCTCCTTCTCCTCTACCTGGCCCCTAAAAGTAGGCTTGTTGGAATGGATATACTATGTAAGGCGGCCTGGAAAACACTCCATCTACCAAATCAAGAAGGAACGCACAGGTGAGAAGGGCTCCAGCCTCTCTGAGACCAGTGGTGGCTATCCTCTGGAGCCCAGGCTGAGGGTTAGAGATGCTGTTACAGAACGGGGCCGATTGCAGCGAGGAGGAGAGGATGAGAATGGACGGAGGCCATGCGGCAACCCTTAACCATCAGAAACAAGGTAGGCTTAGTTATCACCATGAGCTGCAAAGTCTGAACAGGGGAGAGGAGTAGAGAACAGGCAGGAGGAGTAACCTGGAGAGAGGCAATGGTTACTAATATTAATAATACTACCCAACTTAGTGTTAATTTTTTTTTTTAAGATTTTTACTTTTTTATTCATGAGAGACAGAGAGGGAGAGGCAGAGGGAGAAGCAGGCTCCCAAAGAGCAGGGAGCCTGATGCGGGACTCGATCCCAGGACTCTGGGATCCTGACCTGAGCCGAAGGCAGTCGCTTAACCAACTGAGCCACCCAGGCGCCCAACTTAGTGTTAATTTATACCATTAAAGAAATCAAGAAAGATCAAGAAGAGGCTGAGGGCAGTTGCCCAGTAAAGCCACAGTCCCCTCCTCAGCTAGGCATGAGCCAATTCTCAATTCCAGAATTCAGTAACTGAAGAGAAGCCAGGGTGCTATGATGAGGAGCCCTGAAACACAATTCAGTAGTGAATCCGCCATCATTCTTCAAGGGGACCTATGGACATTTGCTCACGGTAATCATGCATTGAGGAAAGGGGAACACCCAGACCTTTGGAGGATTGTTGGACACAAGTTCTAAATTGATGTTATATCCAGGACCTAAGTTGTCAACACAGCCCCCTTTTAGGGTAGAAATATAAGG